GTGCATTTCTGGGCTGTAGCTGCCGTGTCCTGAAAACCGGTGCTGGATATACCCATCTGTGCAGATCCCAGTGCTTCCCCAGCAAACCTGCTCTCTAGAGCTATATTAGAGCTTGAAGCAGAGGGATTGCACAAATGGCCTATCAGTTTTCTGCTCGGGGAGCAAAGAGACTGAAAGCATAAATGTTTATTAGCAAGAACAATTTCCTACTCCAGGAGTCTGCGATGACAACACAGGAATGAGAGAAACCCTCGGTGACCCGAATGTCCCCCTGTAATTGGGGTACACCTGGTTTCTCACTTGTTATTCTGTTCGTCGAATCAGTCTCTCGGGCACAGAACACTTATCAAATTTTCAAACTCGGTGCTTGACTTGAAAAATCAGCCAAGCACTTGAGCCTGGCCTTCCTCGTTAGCGTTGCCTGCAGCGCTGGCCCTCGCGGGCAGCTTGGTGAGGCAGGAGCTGCTGGGTGCCATGTGGGCTTTGGCAGCCAGGCTCGCGGGGGCTCTGAGCTGAGCATTGGGAGAGCAGGCAGCCGTCCTGGTGCTAAGAGGAGGCAAAAGGAGGAGCCCTTGGCTTATGAGGATCCGGCTCCTGATATTGTCAATGCGTCCGAACTGGATGGGGATGTGTCGGGTAAAGCCCTGTATGTTAGGCCATTCCTTGGGATTGGAGGGTAAGGACAATCTCCCTCTCTTATCGCAAAGCAGAGCTACTTAGATGGAATTCCTCACAGAGAGCAGAGCAGTAGCGTTTTTCTGTGACTGTGAACGTGACTGATCTGGAGGATTGGGAAGGACGGGCAGATAGAGACATCCATTTTCAGCTGTGCTATACAGCAGAAAGCTGTATGGTGTCCTGTATTGTATAGTACGCTCTATTGTGCAGCTAAAAGCCATGAAAACTGCGTGTGCCAGTTCTCTTCGTCATGGAGAGGATCATTATGGAGGATCTTCATCATGGACAGGAGCCCTGTGGCAGTCCTGGGGCTGTTAGCATTGCAAGGTGTCAGAGGGCTCTCAATGAAGGGTAGGGAAGTGGCATTTTCCCAGGTGCTTTACGGGTGTGTATCTAGAGCCCAGCTCCACTGCTCGGGTAAAACTGGTTTGCCGGTGTCTGGGGTTATGTCCCACCACGGGCTTTTGGGAAAGGCAGATGGCAGTGACAGAAAAAAAGGACTATTGGCTCAGTGCATTAAAGCAAATCTTTGTTTCTTGCTAAGTACTGCAAAAAGGGAAGGAGGGAGAATGGGAAAAGAAGAAAAGCACCACCGAATCAAAGTGTTTTTGACTTTTCCCTGTGCCCCTCTGGACTAGCAGGCCCCACTGCCCCTGCTCCACGAAGGCGGCTCGCTGCAGCTCATTTCTCATGTTCAGAAAGGACATACAGCACCCGGTAGGACTCTGCTGTACCTGGCAGGAGGGCTGAGCTTTCAGGGTCCATTGTGTCAAGCCTGCAGAATAAGGCAAACTAATCCGGAGCTGCCCCGACATTTGGATGCTGCGGTTGTCCGTGCCCGGCTAAGCCGTGAGCCTGTAGGGAGAAAACTTTGATTAAACTCTGGCCCCAGCCAAAGATTCTCACTGCGGCCTGATTGAATGTAGCTTTATCCCTAGGGATGAAGATGTAAGGAGGGCTCAGGAACAGAAAAACCTAAAATGTATTAAATTCCCTGAGCCATTTAGAGCCCCTGCAGCTGCAGCTTGGCACTTGCCTTTTGATTGGGAGGGATGTGCTGCAGCTAGTGAGCACAGGGACATCCCATCATCTGGCCGGGGACCAGCCCCACCACAGAGCTATAATTTTGACATTGAGGCCTCAGCCGAATGCCTCAGCCTGGGGAGGCTTGTCAGAAAAACGAAAATAAAGTCCGAGAGAAAATTCTGGTAGCGAAAGCGCGTGGTGACGTCCCAAGGTGCTCGCAGGCGCTCACAAGCACGGGCTGATTAGTCTTTCTCTGGGTAGCTCAGGGGTAGGGAGCGAAACGCTGGCGCTCAGAGGCACCAAGACAAACGGGGCGCGCAGAGAGGCAGCCCCAGCCGAGCCCCTCTGGGAGCTGAGGCCGTCCCGCAGCCAGGCTCGTTACCCTGGAGCCCTGCGCACGGCCGCGGATCCTATGGGAGGTGATGGGCGGAAATGGGACAGGGCCTCAGCGCTCCCTGCCCAGGGCTGATATCCTCCAGCATTAGGGAGGCTCTCTGGCCTGGCCCAGTTCTGCTTCCCTTCTAAGCATTAGAGGCCTGTGCATTGCTGTGATAGGGAACTCGGGCTCCGCGGTTCCTTTGTGATCCGTTTGCCTGTGTGATACATCCCTGCAAGGCAGGGACCTGTTTCCACCCAAATCTGCTGCTGAGATGTACAGAACCGAGGAGGAGAAATGTCATTCCGAACCTCAGAAGTGAATTCCCGGTGAAGCACAGTTCCCTCTTGGTTCTTGTCCCTTGGTTCTTCAAGTTCCCTTGTTCCTCAGGGAACCAGTCTTCAACTGAGATCATAAGAGAGATTGACATAAAAGTAAAAATGGTCCGTTCAGCTCAGATGAAAGGTCTCGCCTACGTCAGTGACCTCCAGGAGGTCAAGAACAGGGTGAAGCTGTAGTGCTCCGCCATGTTCACCTCCAACCACCAGGGGTGGATTGCACAGGGGCTGCCTGTGCCAGAACCAGAGCTTTTGTGTATAATAAATAGCCCTTGACGGATTTTTTTCCATTTATTTATCTCACCCTTTCCCAAGACTTTGAGCGTCCACAAGACTACGTCATCTGGTGCAGGGACCAGTACAGGGGTGGTTTCCAGTGGCTGCTGTGTTAATTGCCACTTGAAAATGCCGCCTTGATCCTGTGCTGTAGGAAAGAAAGGCAAGAGCTGATGCTTGCTCACATCGGCATCTCCCTCAGGATTATCTAGACTTCTCTCAGATCCCCCAGCTCTCTCCTCCCAGCTGTCTCCTCCCAGCTGAAGGGTCCTAGTCTTAGCTGGGTATCTAATGAGAGAACAGCATGACTTTGATTAGCCTGGCCCACTGCTCCAAACCAAAATGTGGAAAAATGTATATTGGGTTGGCAGGATGGGGAGTCCTGGAGATGGAGACACAGCCCTGTATGTGCACGAGGTTTTGTGCATGGTCTCTGCTCCTTCCTCATTCCTGACGTGCTCCACTGCTGTTGAGAGCTGAGCTGACACTTCCAGAATTATCTGTCGTAACCCAAATCTCTTCTTTGAGCGATGGTAGCTAGCAAAGCCACTTATTTTCATATGTAAAATGGGTAATTTTTTTCCTATGTGCCACACTTTTATCTTCATTTAATTTCAACTGCACTATTATCGCTCAGTCATTCAGTGTTATTAAAGATCTGATATTTTTCTTCATAAAAGTAGAGCTTTTAACTTAGAATTCATGTGGTTCATCATTTATCCCTAACTGTGTTCTCCTGGAGACTGCCTCATTTGTTTGCAGCCAGCTCTCACCTTTCTCTCTATGTTGTTAAACAGCTACTACATTCCTCACAGCAGTGGCTGCATTAAGGGGAAGAAATCCTGTGTGGTTAAAAGTTATCTATTTCATGTCATTGAATGTAAAGTCTTGCAAACAATGTGCTTTTTAAGTACTATCAAAAAAAGTCATCTGGAGAATTCAAAGCAGCAGAGTTGCAGTAAAACATTATCACCCTACATGTTATTTGTTACATCATTTGACCAGTTTCTGTGAAAACAGAGCCTAATTGGGAAACTGCATTTTATTACATAAACACAGCCTGTCCTAAGAGCTAATGTGCACTGCAGAGAGAAGGCACCAAGGAGGAAGAGAGAGTAGGTAGTTCACTGAGGTCTTTACTGAGAGCAGAGAACGGTGGCCCCTTGCTTTGAAATTCTGGCTTCTGACATACAAATGTCAGTGCCAAATGATGGGTGGCATTTTTATAGAAAATCTGTAAGTGCAAAGTCTAGAAGCAGAGAGATGGAAAATTTTAATTAACCAACTTGGAATAGTGTTTTCTAAAAGTTTGTTCTGGTTAGGTGGTGGTTTCTTCAGATACTTGGGATCTGAACATTGGATATATGTATTATCTGTACAGTTATATATTGTAAATGAGATTTATATATAATGTAATATATATATATACAGGCACATATAAATATCTTCAGTTTAGTTTCTAGCTTCTAGGTGGGAAGAAGTGGAAGCGCTGGCAACCAATTTTAATTTCCACTATGTGCTAAATATAGGCAACTCTGAAGCTTTCAATGAAAGGATTTTAATATTTTTATCCTGAATTGGCAGTTTTGTGCATTAGATGATTCAGAGAGAGAGAGGCTACACCCCAGAGCACAACATGACCTGGACTGAGTGGCTGCCAGGGGGCCTGCTGGAGCAGACTTGGGGCTTTGGGAGCTTTTGCTTTGGGGAGGATTTCAGTGACGGTGTAAGGTGCTGTTGTTGTTGTAAGATATTGAACTTAATCTTCTCTTTTAGCCACAGAAGAGGTCCAGCATGGGCAGTACAAACTTTCTTGGTTTCCCCCAAGAGGGACCAGAGGTTGAATACTACCCACGTTGCTCCGTCTGAGCTGGACTGTCACAGCTAGCCAGGAGATCTTCAGTCTTAACCATAACGTTGGCTGGCTGACTTGGAACTGGGCTGAAACCATGAATGCATTTCATACCAACAGACCAAACAGTCACTTCATGAAAATGGTTTGGGACTATTCCTAGCACAGGTAGAATTTGAACTGTGATGACCTTCCCCTCCATATTATAGTCTGGGTATCATCCATCATGTAGGTCTGATGTTGAAGGCTAATATTTCCAGAGGTCTTTAGAGCATACTCAGTGTGCTTCCAAAATGCTGCCTTTTGCCCCTAGGTTTCAGTGATTTGAAACACAAAACACATTCTCTGCTCCCTCCAAATGCAGCTGGGGACTCCCCGAAGAGCCAGTTAGAGAAATGACTGCTTAACTCTTTATCTAAACCCTGCTTTTCTGTTTTGTTTTCTTTCTTAACAGGACCCAACGGCTGCATCAATTTCAGACAGAGATTGTGATACGAGAGAGGGAGAGACTGTAGCCATGAACTATAAGCCGTCCCCCCTTCAAGTAAAATTAGGTGAGTATTCCTTGATGGAAAATGCAAACACTGTATACAGGACTTGGAAGTATGATGTGGTGCTAGTGCAGTCATAGGCAGCTTTCCATATTTATGCCTTAGCATGCCAGCTCAGCTCAAACAGCACACAGAGCAATTCATCATGGTGACTGTGCTGCTCAGGGAGCTAATCTGCAAACATTCAAGGACTTGGTATTTTGGGGATGGGATGGAGTCTCTCTTGAAAGGAAGACCTAGTTTTTCACCTCTACAGACTTGTATCAAGGTAAGATGAAGGCTTGGCCAGAAAAAGAATGAAAGTAACAGAGAGAGGCAGTGTAAAAGATGGCACAACTCAGAATCTGGTAAAAGATTACCACTGTCAGCTTGCTGTATGCCACCAGAGTCCTATTCTGCTGCCAGGAGAGTTCTGTAATGGTATTAGAAAAATAATCACTACTGCAGTAGTGTTACAGCAGGAAGTGGGTTGGAGAGCAACTGATACCATTTATGGTACATCTGAGATGTTGCTGCAGTTCTAGTCAGTAAAAATATCCAGCAGAGATTCACTGGAGCGACTGGAAATGGTGCTGTTTTAGACTTGGCTTTCGTAAGTCATGAGAACGTTATAGCAGAGCTGGTGGTAGCAAATAGCTTTAGGTTCATGGATAGCATTCATTTCATGCAAATTAAATAAAAAAGATAATCTAAAATAGATCTGCAACAAACTTTACAGGGAGAACTTTTGTAAACCAACTGCTTAAGCAAAAGCAAGTGAATTGAGGAGCCCTGAAATTCAAACACATCAGGCAGTGTTGAAAGAGAAAGTATCAGATGCAAAGAGATTGCTATGAAGTTCCGCTATGAAGAATCAGTCTTATGACTAATCTTGTATAAAGCTTTATCAACTTTGTTTAAAAAAAATGGGAGCTGGCTAAGAAAATTTACTCATCATGTATTTGCCTTGGCTCAGTGCAAGAGTCAGAAACATTGTAGAGAAAGAACATTAAATTAAATCTGTAATAATAGAAATACCAAGATAAACTTGATAGGAGAAAATCAATCTATTGTAGAATGCTATTTTACCCATTGGAAAGGACTAAGGTGGAGGAAGACCTGATACATTAATTGACTGTAGGATAAGTAATTATTAAAATGAACTAATCCTGCAGACAACAGTATGCTCTAATCACACTTTTGCAAAGTTTACTAGCTTTTTTTCCTAAACATCATATATAACAGAATAATTATTCCTTCTGACAGAACTGCTGCATACCCAAATGGGGAAATTTTACATCCATCTGGCCACCAGTAAAGAGGCAAAGGGAGGTGTTTTTCCACCAGATAAAGATGTATCCCTGCAATTGTAAAAGGCCTGTAACAATTCCCTCTCTTGAGTTCCACCAAGAGAAATTCCACATTAACTAGGTATAGAAAAAAGCTAGAGATGACCAGGGAAGTGGAAGAATAATCATATGAAAACTAAAACAGGCTGGCGTGTTGAGCCTGGTAAAACCAAGACTGCAAAAGGATTTGCTTATCCTGTATAAATCCATTGGGAGTAAACACGAGGGACAAAAGTATATATATATATAAGCTAACAGACAATGTTAGCATTGAAACAATTGGTCGTAAATTGGTAAGGAATAGGGTTCCTCTGGAAATTGAAGTATTCTTAACCACGAAAGCAGGGACAGCCTGAGCAGAAAATCCCCAAACCCTCTTGCTGAGTTAGAGCTCCATAGAAGTGGAAAAGGAAGGCTGTGATCCTGCTACCTGCCCGGACTTGCTTTCTAGCCCGTGCTGGTACCCAGTGAATATTCAGTGCTGACACCAATACACTTGCCAAGGCGGTAGGGGCCTGCTTAAGGGCACTTGTCTGGCAAGGCTGATGAGCATGTTCCTGCCCTAACTCCAGAGAGAAGTCAAACACCTCGCTCAGCCAGAGGATACCGTGTACCTCTTTAGTGATGTGAACCCATATCCAGTGGCTTTTGGATCGACTTTCTGCTCTTAGGCGTATCAAGGTAAGCCCTTGCTTACCCGGGGCAAAGTGAGACTAATGGTGGTGTCTCCTGCCAGTGGAACGTGGCTTTAATCCACATCAGCTCCTGCAGCTTTTACTCTTAAAATCTGCCCAACCTGTAGAATTTTCAAGCAGTTTAATGGCTCGCATCTCTCTCTGTTGGCTGCTCTTCATCCAACTCGTCTTTTGTCTCTTCTTCATTAAACTCATCAGGATGTGGATTGTCTTTTAATCTCTTTAAGCCTAGGGAAAATGAAGGTACTACATAAATGTTTAATAGCTTAACTGGCAGAGCCACTGTTGGGGTTGTTAGCAACTAGGATTCTAATCCTGCTGCAAGTTTTCTCTATGGATAGTGGCGTTTTTCACCGTTAAATCAGAATCAATTGTTCAAATGCCAAGTGCTCTGACGGAAGGTTGATAAATGTCATTTTTCCTCTCTGTGAAGGATCATATATAAATCTGTCATATGTGCTTGCTGGAAGCTTAGTTCAAATGAGCTCAATTTAAATACCAACCCAGCATGAATACAACTTCTGCTTCCAGAGCCTGCAGTGATTGAAGTGTGACAGAACGAGAGTGCTATGCTACAGGCACTGGACATGGACTTATCTTGCCATTTAAATGTTTTCTCTATGATTGTTTCTTCCCTTCTGTCATAAATAGATTTCACTGCCGTATATTTCCTTGGGATTCAGTTTGACACGAGGAAAACATCACGGACACCCTCATTTTCTAGTATTTTCCTAAAGATTAGACCTGTTTTTTAGCTGGATTAGTAAAACAACTAGCTTGCAACATGGAGCACAGGGACAAGAACCTTACATCAAGGGCAAATAATATCTCCATGTGGTCCTTATAGTTCATCTCAAACCCTTACTGGAATTATATCCGTACCAATTATATATTTCCTGTTCTTTTAAAAACTCCCTCTTTGTCTTTCTATCAGAAATTCTTCTGGGCTTGACTGTACTTCTTTCTTACTCGCAAATCACTGGATAAGGAGGATCTGACCAGTGCAGTGAGGGACTGGATGTCCATTAGTGCTTATAACATAATCTCCAATGAACCCTTATTAGGAGGTCTATCCAGATGGAACATGACAAGGCATCTGAAAACAGAAGAGAGTTGGGGTAACGAAAGAGGGAGAAACAGAAAATCCAAAAGTGTTAATCTCAGAGGCTCCGTGTCCACTGGAAAGCAGCAGGTACCCAGGAGATGATGTGTATTATTTTAATGAAGCTTGTGCCACCTGTTTTTCTGCTTCACATTTCTAATTTCACTTCTGTGCATTGAAATGCATCCCCCTCCTGACTCTGTATCCTGGGTAGCAGTCCGTGAGGAGACAGCTTGTGTTAAAACAAAATTGGTGATGTGGCAGTTGATTGGAGTGTTGCAGGATGGGCCATGGTGGTGATGAAGAACTGTCAGTGGTGTCTTCATCGTGAGGATCCACCACGCTTGGGGTAAGGGCAGTAAATTGCCCGTGTTCCATCATCAGGTGAACGTAGGAGAGAGCAAGAGAAAGACCCACAGCAGCCTTCATCCATCCCAGACATCTCCATTTCATTCCCCTACTCAGTGGCTATGACTGACATGCAGGCTGGCTTCCATGCTGGCCTTTGCATGGTCTCTACTAGTGTGTGGGGAAGCAAAACTGGAGTGCCCAGAACATAACACATGACTAGTGGGCTCAAGGGAGATATTTCTGCCACGGGAAGGGGTCCGTGACTAACTGGCTTCAGGATAAAACAAATGGCAAGTCATAATGATGGATATTTAAAATCAAGTGGCCACCAGGGAATTTTGTTTGTTCTGTACAAAAGTAGAGAGGCTCTCCTTAGCTGTGGGTTCCAGAAAAAGATAAATGTTCTCTAGCTGTGAAATTACATGCTGTCTAGACCAGATTAAGATGAGATTTGAATGGTCAATACCTTTCTCCTCAGCTTTTTTGTCCTACGAATAATTCTTTGTGGACTTTTTCACCTAGACACCTATCAGGGATCCAGGCACTCATCAAGCTACCTGATGACAACGATTTTTTTGCATCGATACTTTAGAAATGGTACTAAAGTAGTCTCCTTGGTGCCCGTTTATAAAGTTCCCCTTAGCCGTTGGGGAGAGGTGGGTGTTTTTGGAGGGCTGGCAGGCTCCTGTCTGCTTAGATGTGGGCATATCCTCCCTTTTGACTAGTTAGAGAAGTAAGACACAGCTCTTGAAGAGTGCCCAATGAGTTGCCTAAATGTACCTGAAAAGTGAGTGTCTAAGCTGGACAAACTGCATCCCACCCTAAGATTTGGTGAGTTGCATTCCAATGAGGTCTTCTATTGTATGACCTAAGAGGAAGCCTGGTTCATATTGATGCTGGCTTGAAAGTATTTGGGTTTTTGTTTAGATTTTTGTTGCAAGACTTCTTGTAAAGAGTGAAATGTAGATGTAGCAGTCCATTTTTCTGCTTTCCTAGGTGCAATTTCATTCCTCTCACAGTTTAGCTCTCATTCTGACATAGGTCTTAATACCAAGAAATACAATGACTGATGTGAGTCAGCTCCATAAGGAGAAGCAAGCTTCCCAAGGTTGCCTTTGATGTGAGCTCCTGTAGCTCAATTATATTCTCTACCAGCCTAACCAGAAGATTTCCTTGCTTCAAGAAGCAGGAAGCAGTCATAACACTCATACAGCAGAGCTATTCCATGAATAAATGGGGAGCTAACCCTTTCCCCAGCAGTTATATTGTAGGATCTTACTGTACAGATCACTCTCATAGTGCGTCATGCACAGCTGAGCTAGTGGGAAGGAAATTCTTACCTAGAGCCTGGACCTATTGCTAGGTTGAGCTTAAAAGCCTCTGGAGTGCCCCTTTCCTGGCCTTTTGGCTTTTGGTGTGACAATAAAGAGATGAGAGCGACTGAATGGCGGTAGGGAACAGATTACAATGTGGATGTGGGGGCTGAGCTACGCAGGCAGCTCAGGAGAGATGGAGGAAATCTTGACA